CCGTGATGCAACACCTTAGTTAAATGAAGCAAGGAGCCTATTCAAGAATGTCACCAGTACTGACGAGGGCAGGCACGGGTGTATGCCAATCTTGAAGTAGTGTTTTACATTTGTCTGGGATGAAGTACATGCCGTACTTGTGTGTGCCTCCATCGCTAAGCGGTGTGAAGTGTTTTCGACGACTTATAGAACTTACCCAAACATAGCGATATCAATAGCGTAATCTAAGTCCGCGATTCTGTTTCAAGGAAGAAGGTCAAAACCGCAGCTCTGGACACCAACTGTTCATTGGGCAACATCATTGAGGGCAAAAGTGAAGAGAATGGGTGAAATTGGTCAACGTTGACGTCCATCAATGGCGACAGGAGACGAAGAGGAAAGCCAGCCGTGAACCCTCAACTATGTTCCACGTGTGACTGAACAGTTACTACAGGACTGTTAAGTACTTGGCATTCCTAAGCAAAGCAGATCTATACATAATCAAATGCCGTCGAGTATACAAGAACATCACGACTGTTGGTCATCTGTGGACGTGGCGAAGTTCGAGATTGACGGAGCGTGCATATTCGGTCAATGCAATCTCGTCTTGGACGAAAAGCGCCTTGTTCCTGTCTAGAAAAACTAACTGTAGTCGCTGAAAGTTTGCGCAGTATGACGGACACAATACTCTTGGATACAACAATCTACAAAATTCGACGGTAGGTGAAGCAGTCATCGTGGGAGCCTTACTTGTAGATCTGGCCGATGACTGATCGTCCCCATGAGATTGGAACCTTCTCCTCGGTCCAAACCTCCGTGAACAGCGATAGGATTCCGTTGTCCAATACTTTCCAGTCAATTCGAATAGAACCGGTGGGAAGTTGTCAACGCAGAGGAGACTTATGGCTTTTTAAAGACTTTATTGTGCTCCGGATATCTGCTTCTGTAGGAGGATCTGTGAGGATGGGCCAAGCGCCACCTGATAGAAATGGTGGTAAAACATTTGATCCCCTTCATCCATTTCATCAAAGCAGAAAGAAGACGGATTGCGATATGTCAATATTTCGATTGTTTCCATCAGTCGCATTCACAATACAAACAGAAACACAGACACAAATATATACATGGGAAAACATTGGTACACCAATTAAACTGTCAAAATCAAGACCAAGGCAATCTGATTGATTGTCTCAAGTTCCCGGGTTCTTCAAAACCGTCAGAGCTACCCTTCGGCTAGTTCGGCTTCTCATGTGGTTTATCAGTTCAGTTACAGTTGCGGTGATTTTTACATAGGTAACACTAACCATCGGTTGGCTCGCAGGGTGGCTGAGCACTTGCCAAAGTGGGTCGAACAAATGATAGCGCAACAAAACGGAACGCCACACAGGACGAATCGGAAGCCGTCATCATCTATCGTCAAACACCACTTGACAACTGGTCACTTTGTGAACCCGAGTAATGCGTTTAAGGTGTTATTGCGTAACAGGAACCCGATGATGTTGGCAATCAGTGAAGCGTTGCTAATTAGCGCTAATCCACCTGTGCTATGTGCACAGAAACTCTTGAGGCAATCAATCAGATTGCCTTAGTTTTGATTATGACAGCTTAATTGATGTGCCAATTGTTTCACATATACATACTTGTGTCTATGTTTCTGCGTGTATTGTGTTTGCGACTGAGGAGAACAATCGAAATGTTGACAAATTGTAATTTATCTCTCCTTTCTGCTTTGATGAAGTAATAGTGTCACAAATGACCACGCTGGGTAATAAATTTCAGGAGCAAAATACTCCTCCCAGCAGTCCAAGCGCCTGCGTAGGTTCGTGATTTCCGTGTTTTTCGACTCAAGGCCTGTCTGAGTGACAGCAAGCGAATCGTCACATGTTAAACAAGTCTCAACGGTTTCGATCTCATCAGATCCATTTGGCTACCAGGACTCACGGACAGAACGAACACTCTTTCAGCTCTTGAGATTTACACAGACGGAGTCCGTTACATTCTGCACCTGCGTGAACAGGTCTATCAACGGCCTTGCAGCTCCGGAGGTACTGCTGGCATCCGGGTTTATGCTTTACAGCAGGCGAAATCACATTTTAACAATTCTGCGGACAGAATGGCTTGTTGCAAGCCTCACGGATGTTGGTAAGCGTTCGGAGGAAGGCACAGATCGAGATTTCACGAAGCCATTGTTGACACTCCACTTTGATCGTCAGGCCTTCAAATTTACAAGTGTTCAGTCGGATCCGTTTCATCTAAGTCAGTCATCGAAACGCATGCAAACTGTAGCATACACCAAAGCATGATCGGTTTCGACACAAGTTGACCAAAATGACCAGCCGTCCTATATGCTGCCACGCCACCTGAGCCTTATGGCCATGTGATTAATTTGCGACCAACGCTGAGGAGAGGATGGAGGAAGCCAGGTGGCATAGTGATGTTAAGAAGGACGAAAGTTCGTGATGGAGAAGAATAGCTGGCGGTCAGCACATAGACTGATCTGTCTTTCGGCATTGTCAGGGCTAAGGTTATCATATCCATGCGGTCCCCTGAGGTGATGTTCATATTGTAGAGGGGCCGCTTCCAAGAATGGCTCTGGGGAGCTCTTCGGAGTTAGCTGAGAGCGGATCGAGAAGGACGGCTAGCGACGAGCCTGGGCCCGGAACTACGGAGCGGGAATATGTGGACAGCGCAATAAATCAGACATATACGCCGCTAGCGCAGCCCACAGGACCGAGGCCGAGCCGATTGACACAGCGCAGAACAAGCAAGTCGAGAGCTCTCGAACGACTCCTGGCCGATCCAAATCGGGTACAGAGAAGTGGGGATCGAGGCGAAAACAGGAAGGCGGATTTTCCAAGTCCGAGCTCCCGAGGCGAAAGGACTGGCTCGTCTCTAACATCCGAACCTGTGTTGCGTTGTGAGACGGAAATCTAGTCGATATTCGATGGCGCGCGCAATACCCTCATGTGCCCATTTTTGGTGTGCAATAAACGTCTACCCCCATGTCGTGTCGTTTTCGCTACAATATGGCTGCAATCGACCGATCACTAGTCAGTTCGTCAGATATTGAAAGCGCGGTACAACCAATCAGTATTTATAGAATCACGAGAGTAAGAAGCTCACAATGGGTTAAAAGTGTGTTTAATTTACTCTATTGCTAAAAAACCTGTTTGCTTTAAGTAGGTTGCTTGTTGTAATAGTGCCATACGACGTCGGATATTAAGAGATCCCAGTTTGGATTCCTTGAAGTTACAATGGAAAAATGGTATTATACGTGTAAAAAAAGCGGAAACTTAACCGGTCCCGTAGAATAATCATAGTGAAAATTCAGAGTGTAAGGAAAATTGTAAGCAAATTCAGGTGCACACTGGTGGACCCACCGCGGTATTCGTAAGTGTAATTCCACTGTAAGTCATGTTTGATAACACACCTGTGTATCCGTTCACATATGCATGTATATCCGTTGACATCGATTTTGAGAGCAAGGGTGGAGGGGGTGTTTGCCTGCCTCCTGTTGTCACTAAGTGAACAGAAGTCAGATCAGGTAATGCAGGCGTTGTAATGCATCGTCGTGTCGTTTTTACAAATGGGTGGCGTTGGCGCGTCATCCAAAGAGCGTGCCAGCGGTGACAACTTCGAAGAGAAACATGGTTCCGGCGGCATTCCAGCGGACTGTATTGCGTAGCCAGTTTCAGCTGGCGATCCCTCAATTTTATGTTACGGATTAGCTTCAAGTTTTAGCGAATAGCGTGATCGGGGCTTTTCAAGGTCTGGAACGCCAGAATGAGGTCGCCCCGTAGACGGCGATAAAAGTCGATGTAGACTTCTAAAGTTTTCAGTCGCATATGGTATGGCAGATGAAGCAAGCCCTCCATATTTTTGGTTGATCTTCGCTGTGCGGTATCCAATGCAACCAGATCTCGTTTTAACCAGGGTTGCCAGATCTGAATCGCGCACTTCACGTGGGGCCACACTTACGTACTGAGCAGGTCCTTAAGTTATTAGGCTTTTAGTTCACCAAATTTACTCCGCGGGTCATGAGTATCATGCTCGGTAAGGCTTAAATGCAAATGTTGAGCAGCTGTTTTAGCGCGAAATGATACAGGAGAATCATGTACGCGCATCATGCTGACTCTATGGTCGGTTAATTAAAGAGCGTGAAGTGCGAAGGAAATAAATAGGTACACATCAGAACGTTCATAATGAGAAAATACTATCACCCAGAGAGGAAGGAAGTCGTTGGTTTGTGCTGATATGGGAAGCGAATGAAGTATAATACCGCTGGGGTACAAAGACGGAGAAATTGGATTGGGCAGATGGAGAGGAAGCTGTGTCTTATTGAAACGCCCTTCATGAACGCTCGATCTCATCACACTTTGCTGGACTAGTGTTTACCTATGTGCCTATTTTGCCATATTGGCAGTTCTACACTCGTTGAGATACCCAGCGACGAATTGTTCTGTAGGAAAACGGACCACAAACGGGTTTGCTCTTACAAATTTCTGTCTGGCGATTCATATGCGGAATATGCTAACAGAACGACACCATGATCTGTAAGCACGAAAAGAACAGAGAAGTGGGGGTGCATAGTGAAGGGTACCGAGACACATAATTATTCATAGAAAATTGAGGAAATGCATTATAGGTCAATGACTAAACGGTTGGTCAGAACTGCTCGAAAAGCTCTTGAGCCCAGTTAGCTGGAATTTTAGGGAGATGCACTTTGCGCTTGATTGGGGGATTTAACCAACTGATTGGGTCGCTGCGTAACCACTCTAATTGACATCCGGAGCCATGTTTTCGAAAAAACCTAATATGTTATGATAACTGGCTGTACGGCCGCACAGTTATACCAACCAGTCGTTTTCAAACCCTCCAGAAATCACGAATCCCCGATCGGTTCCAAGTTTAATTTGAGATATTGAATCCAAAATGATACTTTGAACACTATGGAGAACCATGTTTTTAACACCAATGAGACCGCAATGAATTTCCTCACGTTTGGCCTTCCTTTGAAACAGGAGATCGTGAAGCAGAAAGAGGAGGCAGTTCAGCAACTGGGACGTCAACTTGCTCAATTACGCACAAACACAAAGCATTTGGAATCGTCCAACACGTGCATTCTGCATAATGACGAAACTAGTCTCCATTTTGCAGACTCTTATGCGGATAAAGAAAACGCAAGCGTTGAGAAACAACTAGCGCTGGTTTTGATAGAAAGAGATGGATTACGCAGGTTGGTTCAATCATTGCGTGAAGAGCAAGAAAAACTTCTCGAAAGAATCCAGCAGCTAGAAAACGTACGTTAAATTGAAAGTTATTTGAGCTAAGTGAAAGTCGCCCTATCATTGACGCTATGAGAACTGTGAACAGTACCAGATAAACTATAATATTGTGCTTAGATGAACAATTAGTAAATGGGAAGTAAAATCTTATTTAAAAGGATATATTGCACAGATTTGTATCCGTTTTTGGTCATCTTTGCGATTTGTGGCTACTGAAAATAAAATGTATTGTTATATTAACCTGCATAATAACAGGCCGTATTCCCTATTCAGGTAAGATATATTATAAATGATTGCTCCCCTCTTAGTGGGTGATAGATATGAGGTTCTGATTAGTTAAACAGAAGGAATCGTTATGAACTTTTAGGATAGCAAGCCTATAGGTCACAATGATACTTTCATCGAGACGAACAAACAGATGGACGTTGCGCGCCAGTAGTTACTTGCATTGTGCGACAGTAACTACAGCAAGATACCTACTCCACTAAATACCTAGATGACTTATGGCATCCGACAGCGTATATGATCCAGTTTTGAAAGGAAAATAGAGCGTTGTAAAGGACTATTTTTGCAGTGCTATCTCAGGCAACTGCCTAGCAGCTCGGATTCAGGGAACGCTACTACTGACCACTCTTAAGTACATATTTGGCTTGTTGTTATTGTGCTATCAACTTATTCTAAGATGCTTCCATTTAGCCACACTGTGTACATAGTAGTCGGGCTGGGCCATGCACTCGGATGGCAAGCAGAGGGCACGTCCGAGCCATGAACTGTAGCGGGAAGTTTGAACTGTGAGATACATCACTGTAAAAGTGACCGTTGTCAAACCGCGTCATGGACGTTTTCATGACAGTAAAAACGTACCCTTGCCACACGGAACACCTGTGACGAGGTTTGAGCTAGAAGCCATTGTATAACACATGCAACAGTCTGGAATATGGTTGTAAATCGTTGTGCACAAGTGCCTACTTAGATTTGTAAGTCAGGACTTTGGACTGTAACATCATGACGGGGTTATCCACCGACGATTTCAGAGTGCATCCCTTCTAACTCATAAAGGATGTAAGCAGGACAAAGTCAATCGTCTTGAAGACCATTTGTCTTCGCAATGAATCAAGCTATTTTGCCATTGGTGGCATGAGTGGGTTCGCCAGTCACGGGAGAAGATCGCACACATTCTTTTACTGGGTCTGGCAAGTGACAAATTAAATAAAACGGGTTTTCGAAAACACTCCACAGTGCCTACCCGACAACATAGTTGAGATTAAACAACTGTCAGTCGGCATTAGTGCATATCGCAGTACTGGAGATGGACTATAAATCACCATGGTTCCTAATGCGCTTTTGTGCATGAATAGTTTGTTTGAGAAGGAAAAATGAGATTACCTTGTATCTTCCTTTTCACATGTCTTAAATGCAGATATACTTTTTGATACGACATCGTCAATTAACCTTTGACAGATGATGTTCTGTTAGCAAGTGTTTGGTTTTCGTAATTCCTACTTGAGCCAAGCCAGTTTATTCGATGACATGTGTTGGAAGATGATTCTTCGAGCATTTAGGTTGGGATCTAGCCAGAGATGCACAGTACGTACTTGCGAAAGTGGCACTCAAATAATGAATATGGCGCCACCGAGTGTTGGCTGAAAGCAGGACGTAATTGGTACAACCATTTCCAAACATGGGTTTCAGTCATTCTGCCTGACATAAGTCGCTTCAGTCTTAACCAGTTGTGTGGATTGTGTCTTGGCCAGGTGACATTTAAAACACTTGGTGCTACAGCTAATCTTAGCCTGAGTTGGCAAAATGACCCCATAATGCCTAAAACTGTTTACATCAACCGTAAAAAGTATCAGTTAGGCTGTTCTTAAAGATATTCCACCCAGCGCGTTTATCCTATTGTTGGCTTGAAAAGTCTACCAAAATTCTGGAAGTGCTATACTGGGATAGATAGCAAGAGAAGATCAAGGAAAGCTTTTTGTCTCGACTGTGGCCCAACATGAACTGCTGGTTTGATTACTGAATAGTCGGTTTTACTAGCTGAATTGAAATGACGACAGGGTCCCGCAGTTCGCGGATAACGAATGATAATGCATATTATTCCATTTTTAGGAAAGTGCCGGTTACAGCAGACAGCTCGGAAATAAAATCCCATCTGCACGCAGCACGAAGACCTCAGGGAGTTCACAATTGGCATCATCAGTGGACAGCAAAAATGGTATGGACGGACAAACACAATTATCGAGTCAGGAATACCTCCAGAAGACCATCTCAGGTCTGAGTGTTTCAGCCGCGAAATTCGTATCGAAGCGGATGCGTTGTTTGCAGGAAGCGATAATTCGTTCAGAGGATGAACTGTCCTCTATGCGATCAATGGTGACTAAATTGAAAGATGCAAGGAAGGAAGATTTCGCCATATTGTCTCAGATTGTGGAGCAGCTCCGAACAAGTTGCTCGGAAGAAAAATGTACATGACATTAAATTTATTTAGGCCAACAAAATGCTTTTGACATCATGCGCAATTCTTTTTAGCTCGAGTACTAAGTATGGTGTGAAATGCAAAGAGTAAGTTGACTATGACCATGAAATGATTCATACAAGTTAATAACAAATGTATGTATCTAATCTATCGTTATGAAATAATTTGAACGAAGTAAATTAAGAGGACTTAATTTCAAAAGAATTTTCCGCTTTAGGTATCTCAAGACATAACCCATAGTCTATGTTACGACCGGTGGATGAACGCATTTGTCTGATTTGCTTGGTATGGCACGCCGGTGTCAGTTTGCACCCGAAAAGCGACGGCGAAATCCCCCTGGAAATTCAGAATACTGATGATGGTCGCAATGGTAGTATTTAGCAGCCGGGATTTCCGGGTTTAGCGGTAAACAGTGTCCACGTGTGATACAGAATGTTGACACATGCAGGTCGGTACAGACAAAGACGATTTGACTACAACGTGGAATAATGTGAGCCCGATAGTTGCGGTTTCATCACCAAATGAGGTGACGCCTTCAGTATGTTATTGTGTCAAATGCAGTCTCACTGATGTCGTCCATCTGTGATCGATGAGCAGGTGACTTTCGAATGAACCTACTCGATTTGTGCCCAGTGACCTTCATCCGTCCGCTCGACGTCTGTGGTGGATTTGAGTGAACCGTGCGATGGGTTTGCTCCGGTTGTGCTGTTGATGATTGTTTTGCCTAATGGCGAAAGTTTTCAAGCCGTTGTGTTCGTTCCATCTGAGAGTTCTATAAGTTGCATCGATGTCGACACGTGTGTTTTTCAAATGCTTCGTAGAGTGAAATGGTTTGAAAAACCCTTTCTATTCGTGTTTCTCCTTATGATAGGGTTTCTGTTTTTTCCAAGCAAAGTAATGTCATTCTTCATCCCTATGCAGTGAAAGCAGGGAGCGTACGTAGTGGTTATTACAGACCGTGTTATGTCCCAGTATCCTTGTTGATAGTTTCCTTCCTGCCCGGCCCATATAGCTCGTATCGCAAACTCGACACTGTATCTTGAACCCAACATTTCGTCCTTCATAGGCTTCAGGTTTGCCCTGGGGTGTTAACAGGATACCCTTCATAGTGGCAGTTGGTTTTTGAGCCACTGTGAGATAGGGCTGTTTAAACAACCTGCTGTCAGCTCGGAGAAGTTATTAACTATACGCCACCGTGTGATCGTACCGAATCGACTCTCTTGTCTTTCAGTGGAACTTCCCTCAACAATTTGCTGCACATTATAGGGCTAGCACACACTCGACTCGGATTTATCAGCATACCTATCTTCCGGATTACCCTTATCATTTCAACGTCTGATCGTCGTCTGTGTCTGTGACGGATTTTGTTGCTGTACCTCAACAGCGCAATACTCTAGCTTCAAGCACCCTATGAAATATTTTTACGCTCCTTCGAAGGATCTTTCCCGAGGCGATCGAGTCAACCAAATACGTTCTGATTTAATACCAGTTTCAGAAGCTGCCTCGCAGTTCCTATTACGTTGCTGCTGGCGCAGCATTCACTTTGGATTGTTCGATAACCCAAAGCAAATCGTCACTCCTTGTGACCACGTCGACCACTGCGTCGGCGTAAGCCATCACACCGACCAGCGTAACCACATCGCTTGTTAGTGCGCCCTCACATTGTAACCACATCGCTCGTCTGACTGGTGAGCGCAACCGACCGAAGTCAGTAAAGTACACGTCAACGAGGTCACTGTGTCAGGTAATGACATTAGGCTGGGTAGCAGGTAGTTGCGAATTCAAAGAGCCCAGTGCGAAGCGTACCTGTGGTATTGGAGAATGTAATCGGTTAGTGAATTTAGGTTTAACCTGCTCAAGCTGTTCCAAATGGTACCATCCAAAGGGTGCATATTGTTCCCAACGAGAGGCTAGAGATGGAAGTAGCTCCCAAGACGTTCTATTGTTTTGTACTGCGCACGCAACCATCCCATTAGTCAAGTGTATGTCCATCATAGTCCAAAAGTGTAGCCTGTTGGCATAAGTCGGACAGAGGATGAACGCCAAGATTACATCACTAGAGGTAAACCTGATCCAAATCAGCGTATCGCCCTCTAAGAAAAACGATGGTACAGAAGTTGCTTAAACTTAACCACCATCGGCAAGGGCCACCTTGCTGTTATCTCCTCTAAATTTAGAAAAACGTCATGCGGAATCAGGCAAAATCTCTGATAGTCATGCGGTAGGTAGGACCACCAAATGCGGTACCAACATAAACGTGTAATTGATCAAATTGCGCCGGCCTTAACAACTTCCATAATTAACAAAGATGAAGCAGCCGAACACCAGTCTTCTGCATCTGGAAATCAAGGGTCTCTGGACGATTTCAATTCCCCGGGAATTCAGTCAACTATACGGTTATCGCTTCACAGATCACATAGAATAACACACTCAGGATTTCTCCTGTTTCAAACACTGCTAACGCGAACAGAGAGACAATCAGTAGACCATCATCACTTGGTTTTAAGCCAGGACCGAAAATCACCCGAACCTGCAGCACAACAAGAAAGGATCCAACAATAACACGCTGACTGTCATGTGCACGAATGTTCGCAGATCTACCGCCTTCACATTACAGGGTACGTAGTGTGCCGACCAAGACCAGTGGAACTCACCTTGCATTTTGATGAAAGCCAAGGCCAATCCCTAAACCTAGTAGGAGTTACTCGTCACCCGAACTCTGCACACTATGGTGGACCCATACTTAGCAGAAGTATATCAGAATCCACCACTGATGCAGAAAGCGTTTTACTCCCTGCAAGTGCGTTGAAACACATATCCTGTAGGATATACATCTATCTTGACATCCCTTGGGGTATGCGACAATCGAAATGAAACGTCTCGGAGGGACATAGCATGCAGAATCGTGTAAGCACAATTTTCATTCAGGATGTGCCAGAGTTTCCTTCTGAGGATTGTCAAAAGAGCAGAAATCCCGATTCAAAACAGCGGCGGTTCGTTCTTGAAATACTTTCCCTGGACAACGTTGTGGCGCGATCGTTCGAGTTGGAGAGGATGCGGCCCAAATAATTTAAAACTCGTTCATTCAAAGCAAATAGCGATGGAAGTACCAGAATGTGAGCGAAGACGACGTAAAAGTCTTCCATTTGAACTTCGGTCAAAACGTGCAGAAGCCTTGCAAAGTTCAGATATAAAATCATACGATAAAGCAAACGTACCGCCCATGACACGGGTGTTTCATTTTACCGCTCCGTCACGCGATTCCGCAATAGGTCCGGAAGTGGAATCGTTCGTATACGGGCCAAATCGAGCTGCAGACGATGTATCACCATCCCATCAAAAATGGAATAACGATCGACCTCACATTAGTCGTCATTTTCCCACACATGACTCCTTTAGCAACATGTGGACTGCTAGAGACCGATAAACTGGACTGCTTGTATAGGAATGCTCAGGGTCTTTCCAATAAGCTGGCCGAACTGAAAGGTCGCCAAATCTCCAGGTCATTTCATCGGTGTCCCGGAGATATAATTACACCCAGGAACGACGGAAGCTAGAGTCTCGCTACCGAGTGTTACTCATCCGGAACGATAGAATTACGAAAGGAGGAGAAGTAATTATGTATTACCGGACTGACGTATACTGTGTGGTTGTGGGGGATTGGGACTCGCAGTTCTCCGATTCTCTTTAAAGCCATCTGTATTTGGAAAGCCGATAAAATTGCTATATATCCTTAATGTACCGCCTCCTGACGGACTGCCGTCTTGTGCCTACTATAATACGCCCCCTAAAGGGAAGATGCAGTTACATCGTTAGCATGGGTGATTTCAGCGTAAGCCGTTTAGTAGTCCCTGCTGCAATCTCAGAAAAAAATCTAAAATGACCTGCAGTAGATTTCAACCACTGTTGCATTATACAACCAAGTCATTATGCCTACGCGGTTAAGAGCACGTAACAAGCCACCTTTGCTGGACCTTATGCTAACGCGTTGGATGTAGACTGCCCGTTGGGTCGCAGTGATTGGGCAAACATTAGTTGCCACTTCGTTCGCCATGCGAACTATCGGAATGAAAACTGTGAGAGTGTACGAATTGTCACACTCTGCGGTCGATTAGCCCAGCTCGTCAGCGCCACAACCTGATCCTTCTTTCCCGAAGAACCCCCGGGATGTCGCCTTGCTTGAGTCCGTCAACAAATTCAGTCGGGTGCTTACAGGAAGTTCAGGGAGGAGAGTTTACAACGTGTCTAAATCAGTTTCCATCGTTAGAAGCAGAATTCAAAAATAGATGACAATACGCAACGCTGCATGGTGGGTGAACAGAGAAGCTCCAACGCCAGAAACTTGGGACAACTATTTAGTCCGACGTAACCGCTGCACCCAACCGCTAAGAGAAGACAAAGCCGCCTATTAGTGGAACATTGCGAAATCTGCAGCGGTAACCACAAACTTTTGTACAAACATTTCAATGGACTAGGAAAGGTGAGGCGGGGATTCTTTCCACTCCGGATGACTGCTGAAGCAACAAGAAAATCTATAGAAGAAGTAAATGCGCTGCGGATGCAATAGACCCCCAAGTTTCAGAGGGTGTTGCCTTAAAATAACCTACCAAATTTTGTTTTTCCGCTTCCATGAGTCACCCACATCCTTTTTACTCCCGTAGTTCTATTGAAGAAGCTGACGTCTCTGCGATAGCACAGCTCTCCATGTGTTGATACCATTCGTCAAGAGGCACTGGGAGCCGCAGCAAGACAGCTGTCTTAGACTTTGGCCCAGTTCTTTCAGCGCTGCATAGACCAGAACCAGACTGCTGCTATGTGGAAGCTAGGAGTAATAATTTGGATTCACAAAGGCGGAAGCAGAACTAAGCCCTGCAAATACCGCCCAGTATATTCACGCCTTATACACTCAAAAGTCAAGAAATCCACCGTCCCCGATACTTTAGTGTGTTATCTGGAAAACTGTGAAATTATTACTCCCGAACAGCTCGGATTCTATCGACAGTGATCGTGCAAAACGAATTTGCTGATCGGACGGGGTAGTTGAACCGAGTCACCTGAAGCTAGAGTGGATGTTAATGTGATCTACCTGGATTTGT